TCGTGAAAAGAAAGAAACATTTTCGTTTAGACAATGAAAAGGTAAGTAATTTAATATAAAAATTAAAATTAATATTAAAGAAAAATAGTACAATTTTTTATTGTATTGTTTTATAGCCAATGTCTCCAGTTATTTCAAGAAAATATGACTCTAAGAAAAGAAAATCACATTAATAGTGAGTGTAAATAATTATAAGAAGACATTGATGGTTTACGTGAGAGTAGATCCATGCATAAGTCATAAATAAGATTAGTTACTACATTTTATAAATCCGAAATCTTTCAAATAAATCATAGATGCATAACTTGTATGAAAGAATGTATATATATACATATTATTACTTTACCTGCAGAATTCTTGAAAAATAGGATTGTCAACGATTGTCTTACATCAAAAACAGTTTGAAAATTTTGCTCCATATAATAATCTTAAAATAAATTAAATTTACGACGTAAGTTATTACTGTAATTATTACTTGATGTTACTACTAAAAGATTGGTTGATAAATCCTTAATTAGGAATTACTATATAGTAGATTCTTAAAATCAATGCAACAATCACTTGCGGGTAAACTGTTAGGATGTTCGAAAACAATCTTTGACGTATAATGAGGACATAGTAGGATTAATGAGGTATACAAGAGTGATCAAGAACGATAAAATAAAATGTTTCTGTTATGGTGTATTTTGTCACTCAGCAATTCGCTTTTTTTTCCATTTGTAACTTACACGTATGTACGAGGGACATGAATAATACGCTAATCATTTTCTCTTTTCGTCTTGGATATACAGTACTGAGACGCGACTAAAGTGTACTGCCTAATTTTATTCGATTAATTTTTGTTATTGTACAATTTATTCTTAATACCTTGTCTATATATAGTTTTGGTTCGCAAATGCAGCGTACACCGAGTTCAATAATTTCCTCGAGCGTAATAACAACTACCGCATACCTGTTTTCTCTCAGAATCTTCGTAAATTGTGCTTTTTTAACGCGGTTCGTAAATACAATATTGAAGTCGGGTGCGCTGCAGGACGTAGGCTACTCGTAATTTTTGTTAAGTCTAGAAACTAGAAAAAAGTGAACGTGACAACTCGCAAAGTTGAAACGCATTTTGTACTAAAAGGAAATAACGTTTCGCAACTACAGCACACTAAATCTTATTCGGCTATAATTTTTTTTTTCAGCTGTACAAAAATCATTGTCCACTACGCCTCCTGATAATACTAACGCAAACTTGCTTTATCCTGACTGGGCTTACATCTGAAATGGAATAGCTTTCTTTTCTTTTTTAACTCTTATTCTCGTAAACGTACCTAGGAATAAATTCACTAAATTACAGGCACTGTCTCCGTCAAGATGGAGTAGGTGGTTTCTTTTGTTACCCATATTTCTACAGAGCAAAATGGAGCTTTGCGCCAAACAGGAAATCATGTTCCTTGGGCACAGAGGCCATTTTATATACAAATTTTCACATATAGATGTAACACACAGATCTTCGCGTAATTCATTAAGTTCCACCTTTTCTTCGTGCAGTAGGCGTAGAATAAAGAAATATTTCGTGACGAAACTAGTTTCTTCAGTTGATCGTGTTTGCATAAGTATGCTTTCTACCACTTATTTTGTCGAGATTATGTATACATAATTTCTTCTTTTTTTTTTTACAAACAGAATCAAGTGTAATTCGGTGTATTCTCAACCATCATACTGCATACTTATATACGTTATACGAAAAATTAGAATTAACATGATGACAATTTGCGTAAAACTATTTGTATCTATTCGGAAAAAAAATCGTTTTAAATAGTCGTTGGTTACACATGCAAATTCATAGTGAGATAAAACATGATCTTAAAACTTTCATTTCACATTTTATACGACGCCGATTACAATTTCATTCTCCATTATAAAATATACAGAATTTTGGTCAGAGATCACATAAAAACGTTGTAACTCGTTATTCGTACGTAAATCTTCACGTAAAGCAGATACAAACGGAATATAAGTGTTCAAAGGACGTAAAATTAAATTAAATTATATACATGTACACACAAATCTAAAATAAGTGTAAAATGAATATTTTCACAATCAAACTGTTTTGTAAGTAACTTGGGGTAAAGTACTGCGAATACCTCTAAATATTTCAAGCACTGATTAAAGATTGTGGTGGCAGCGCATGCTCAAGGTAAGAAAAGATTTTATTTACCAATGCTTTGTAGGCCTGACACTTAATATTTAGTGACATTTTCTCTTGTAAATGTTATCTTGTGACATACACAAAATAATGACATAAAAATCTAATGAAAGATTGCAGCTTAAATACATACAAACAGTGCCTTCCTGTAGATGAATCTTTTTTGAAGGGTATGTATCAAAACAATGATTCATATTGTGTAATTAGTATCATATTTCAATAAATTCATTCGATAATTATATCATAGTCGACTAATAACATAAAATCAAAAGCACCAGATCGGTTTCTTTTCTGTGAAGTGTGTGTCGCACAATTATCCTGTGCAATTAACTTAATTTCTAAGTCCGATTTGAAATATTCTTGGACAAAGAAATTATCCTTACAAATAATCATACCGGATGCAGATATTTAGAGGCTTTTGATTAAAACTATAGTATTCACTGCAGTAAGGTTATTGCATGGAAGGCCTTTGTAAAAACGGGGTCCATATTTATTCCTTATGGAGGAACACTCTTCAGTATACAGCTACTATTTCTTTCATATTTTGTGTACACATCTATTAAATAAAGTACGTTATATCTAGATCTTTGACCGGAAATAAAATACAAAGGTTCCAATATGAAAAAGCACAGTAGCATTATAAATGTAAAGGACGAAACAGTTATTTTTTTCCTCGAAATTCTTTTTGAAACATTCCCAGTGTACGATAGAAGAAAGGGCGTGGAGAATTCATACCCTGAGCAATTAATGGCGTAGCGATCGTTCCTGGCAAGAAGCTCGAACGTCTATGCTGAGTAGCATTTGTACCATAAAAAATTAAGCTTACTCAACTTTATATATTACACAGCGTCGCGTTTTATTATTGTTTGTCGCGTCCAGTAAAATTCGTTCGTAAATTTTCGCGCTCAATGTGATATAATAACTCCTGTTATAACAACTTCTGTCTCTAACTGGTTCGATGAGCACAGAATAATCGATTCGTGTGTTTTTCATAAATTTTTAAGACAATGGCAACCGCGAATATTAAAAACAGATGAAAAATACACGCTTGTTTGTTCGCTTCTTACCGCTGTTCCACTGTAAATTTAATCTTAATTTCACAGTGATAAACCGGTCACAGTATCATGCTCAATGGCATGACAAACTTGCATTGTCTCATTCTCCCCCTGATACAGTTACTTCCCGCCATGCAGGTTCTTGAGACTGATTTACTAAATTAGATTGAGGTTCAGACATATCTGACGCTGCTGGACTCAGCGGTGGACTAGGTGTCGCGGGTGCTTCTTCAGATTGGTTTACTTCAGCTGCGTCTGGTTCAGCTTCTTGTTCACCATCAGGAAGAGAAGCTTCCAACTGCACAGAACTCGGATTCTTTGATAGAGAGTCCTGTGTTCTTAATGATATAGAACTATTTTTATTGCTACTGCCATCCTCACCTGCAAATTATTATCAATTATTATAGTTGTTGTTGTTTCGATATTATTTTCATTAATTGCGTTCATTTTATGTGGAACTTTAAAAAATATTTCTACCGCAAGGCCTAAGAACGAGGTAGAAGAGTAAGTCGGATAGAGAAATTATACCAATCACTTTATCATCATCGTCAACCACTACTAGCCTATGGACCTAAAAAACATGAATATATTCTAATTTAATAAAATTCATAAATTATTTTATTTTTTATAAACAAGACGATAATAAATACTGTACCTCTGCCCTAACAATTTTTTCCATAATAGTAAACAGTGTTTCATCTAATTTACAACTTTGAACTCCCTCAAACCACTCATTACGATGCTCATTTGCTTCTCTTAATGAAACGTCTAAATTGTTATATGTTTTCTCTGCAGCTAAATTCTGAAAATAAATAGAATAAGATTATTTATGTATTAATAATAACAAGTTTCGACTTATAAAATTTTGATGAACAGTTGTGCTGCTAATAAATAGCTAATATACTTACAATAACATCAAACTTTGAATAAATGTTAACCAATTTGCCTTCAGTATCAATGATTGGCAATGCTGAAACTCTCCTCTCTACAAATTTCTTGAGTGCTAAAATTATGCTAGTTTCTTCTGTGGCTGTCTCAATATTATCAAATGTACCTATCCTTAACTCCCTCAGTGTTTTATTTGTAAATGATGGTTTTGGTAACTCATGAATCTGTTAAATTAAATCATTATAATGAATTTCATATTCTACTTATACATTGTGATTCTCATGAGTATTTTTCTATACTCACATAAAGGAAGAGGAACCTTAGTATTCGTTTATGTGTCAAGATATAGAGAACATTTCCAGTGTCTGGGTCTATCACAGGCAAACGATGAATTCTGTTTTGTACAAGAGTCTTAATGGCCTCGTACAAAGATGCATCTGGGCCAATGCTCACTAACGGATGAACTTGATCCTTCAAAACTTCTAAGATAGCAACGTTCATAAAAATATTTTCATTAGTAAACATTATAATTGTACATCTAGAAAAAAAACAAAAGTGGTATTTACTTCTCCATGTATCCAATTCGTGTTCTTCCAATTCATCCATTGTTACAGATGGGCTGGTGTAGTACATTTGCAGAATTTTTATAAAATCTGTTATTGTTAACATCCCCACAAATTCTTGCCTTGAACTGTCCCATAATGGTGCAGCTCTTACACCTGTACAAAAGATCAGTCAATACAGAAGATAGAACAAAAATACTAAATTATAACAGAAATTAAATTTATCACTCACCGTTGTAGACAAGGGCGAAGAAGGCCTTCTTGACGAGGAGATGCGTGTCGAAAACGACCAACTTGGCACTGGTCGGTATTAGGTCGTAACATTTGTGAAATTTGAAAAACTTCACAAAGATCTGTGATTCGTCCTCCTCTGAAAGCCCAAACAGTTCACAGTAGAGTAGAGCTTTTTGGTTTCGTCGAAGCATGTTTTGTTTCGTTTATTATTGTCTTTGAACGATATCACAATGTCATCCCGCAAAATAACAAATAAATCGTTCTATTTCATTCTACGGTCCCCCGACGAAGCACCTTTCTTTTTTTCTACAATATTTATCAGAACATGTTTGAGTCACAGATTCATTGATTCGCCTACCGGGTTTCGGTTTCGGCTGACCTTGCCTTGTGATAGGTTATGCTGGTGCAATATCTGGCGCCGAATCGCATATTTTGGCGGAATATTTAAATTTCGGCGACAGGCAGCGAGCGAAATTGCAAAAGATCCAAGATAAACTGGTTTTATAATAAATAAATGTTTGTTGAAATCATTCAACAATATTACATGTCCGCGTTCCTTACAGTTTTCATGCACAAATGGCGATTATGTGGGTCACTAGTGCCTAATCAAACGTTCGCACGAGGGGCGATGATGTTATACAACGTTAAAATGAGCCAATTAAGTGATTGATTAGGCGAGATGGCGATGATCGCGTTATAACGTGCTTGAGCGAGAAGCGTATCTTTTATCGAGTAAAATCATTGTTACACGGGTGGGTATACCAAATGATAAGATATCATTATTATAATGTATTCACGATATAGCGTTTATAATTGTGTGAAGTTGAATTTTATGATGCTTAAATTGATTGAAAAAAACACGTATTGGGATAAACGTCCAGCCTAATCGTAACAGACTGAAATCATTTTTTGCCGAGATCGAACAATGCATTTCCCTTGGCTTTAAATAAAACCAATATGTGATAATTGAGATACTATTGTGAAACGTTTCCGATTCCNAAACTGGTTTTATAATAAATAAATGTTTGTTGAAATCATTCAACAATATTACATGTCCGCGTTCCTTACAGTTTTCATGCACAAATGGCGATTATGTGGGTCACTAGTGCCTAATCAAACGTTCGCACGAGGGGCGATGATGTTATACAACGTTAAAATGAGCCAATTAAGTGATTGATTAGGCGAGATGGCGATGATCGCGTTATAACGTGCTTGAGCGAGAAGCGTATCTTTTATCGAGTAAAATCATTGTTACACGGGTGGGTATACCAAATGATAAGATATCATTATTATAATGTATTCACGATATAGCGTTTATAATTGTGTGAAGTTGAATTTTATGATGCTTAAATTGATTGAAAAAAACACGTATTGGGATAAACGTCCAGCCTAATCGTAACAGACTGAAATCATTTTTTGCCGAGATCGAACAATGCATTTCCCTTGGCTTTAAATAAAACCAATATGTGATAATTGAGATACTATTGTGAAACGTTTCCGATTCCGAATTTATCACGCGGAGATCAATTAAAAGATATTCTGTCGTTCTATCGTAGTCAATTAGTGCAACAACTGCCGCAGAGCTGCATACAATATACAATTCATTTAAGGACACTGAAATAGTTTCTTCAAAATAAAAATTCGTAATTAAACGACTAGATCATTAACTAAACTTGTTATTTTCTTGCCAATTTCTTCTCGTTTTTCTCTTTGTATATAATTATAAGTCTTAAGATCTTCAGAAGTCATTTTATACAAATGAAAATTGAATTGAGAATTCTTATAGAATGAATATATGTCTTCTTATATTCTACAAGCTCGCAAACCAAATAAATGCACAAAAAATCCGTTGTCTATTCATAATATAGATGGTTTCTTGAGATTAAGGAATAAAGACGTCACCTACTTGCACGACAACTTGTTATAAAACACGAAGCAGCCATTTAATTAGTATCTCAGAAAATGGTTACTCATGCGGTACCAAGAAACTGTCTGAACACGACGAGTTTGAAATCGCTGAGGATGACCGCAACGTCTAATTACGGATATCATTCCACATGTGTACATATCTGGTTTGCAGATTTTCATATGCATCCATTAAATCCCGAACCGATCTATTCCCTTCACAGATATGTAATAATTACAAAATGCACGTGTATAATTACCAATAGATCACACGAAATAATAAAATAATAAAAAATATATATAATAAATATATATATATATATATATATATATAATAAAATAATAAAATACTGTAACGTCAAGAATTAACGACAAAATCCTTATACTGACTTATATCGGTAATTGAATCTAAAAGCGATCAGGCCCTGTTGCACTTACGTAATGCACATAATGGGCGAATACAATTCGATCGATGCTGCTTACAACGCTTTGTTCACATACAAATGATACCCAAGAGAGTACCGAAAAGAGAAAAGGGCACCTCGTCAACGAAGCCGGATAAAAACTGACATTGCCAGCAGCTCTATTAGCCGCGTAATGAATCGAACCTAACACCTGGCACGGACAAAATCTTCGAAAACCACCTGATTCGGTGGAAAACCCTAAGCAATCTGCAACAAATCTAAAAATATATTTTTAAGACTTATAATTATATATAGAGAGAAAAACGAGAAGAAATCGGCAAGAAAATAACAAGTTTAGTTAATAATCTAGTCGTTTAATTACGAATTTCTATTTTGAAGAAACTATTTCAATGTCCTTAAATGAATTGTATATTGTACGCAGCTCTGCGGCAGTTGTTGCACTAATTGACAATGATAGAACGACAGAATATCTTTTAATTGATCTCCGCGTGATAAATTCGGAATCGGAAACGTTTCACAATAGTATCTCAATTATCACATATTGGTTTCATTTAAAGCCAAGGGAAATGCATTGTTCGATCTCGGCAAAAAATGATTTATTTTTTTGTCGTAATATTTTATATTTGCGATAAATAGTAATTCAGAAATATATTTTACATATCAAAATTTTCCGACAGTTAGAGGCTGTACCAAAGTAACCGAAAACTGGCTCTTAATTTTCTCGACGCGCACACCGGACAAAAGAATCTACGACGTAGACTCTTCCCGTCGACACTTTAGCGCTGACCTAAGAGCTGCCCTAGCACCGCAAGACCGGCGAATTTCCGGGACGCGAGAAGAACTGTCCTATCAGGAGACCAGAAGCAACGATCTCGTTGCCTAGTTTCTGCTCGGCCGGATAGCGTGTCCTAACGCACCGATCCTCGAACGCTGCCCGTTCGAGAATCTCGTCCAATCACAGAGCTAGTAGAAATGCGACGCGGGACGCCGAGTGGCGAGGTACGTAGTTCCACTTTCGCCGACGCGCGATAGAAAGAAACGGACACGGCGGCGACCTAACCCCCTGCGCGCGTTCGAATCGAGTTTACGGGCGGAAAAAGTTGCTTCATCCGAGACCGGCGGAAAAGTGTGTCAGGCGAACGGGTAACGAGCTAAACGATGCAACAACATTTTCCCGCAGGCGTGCACCGTTCGCAGGAGATTGTTAACGGGAACTGTGGTACCGAACACTCGCTCAAGTTCATTCGAGTTCACTCACATAACCTCTATCTCTCTCTCTCTCTCTCACTCACTCTATCCCGGGAGAGAGAGCACTCGCTTGCACAATGAATTCCGCGATGAGCTTTTCACCACCGGCTGCGTCGAACTGTTCCGGACAAAGTTTCGCGACCGGACGACCGAAACACATATAAAAGTCGGCCGGAAAGAACGTACGTTCGCAGTCGGCACGCCGTGCCGTGATCATCAAGCGCAACTGACCGCCGAGGAGATTGTACAGCACTAACCGAGCGCGGTTCGTTCGTTCGGTTGCACGGACGAGGAACGCGGTACAAATATACTGGCGTAGGACAGTGACGGTGAACCGTTTAGACACGCCTAAGCACGTTGTCCTCTTTGGCCGTGGCTGCTATGCGGTTCGCGGAGCTGGTACAACGGCTAAGAAGTATTTATAAGGACAATGACGGAAAAAAGCAGCGTCCTTTCTGGCTGGCCTTTGTTGGCTCGTGAAGTGTTCGTTAGGTGCACAGTAGATCGTTACGATGCAGGAAAAGCATTTTTCTCTTTGCTGGATGGTTTGTGGGAACGCGTATGTTCGTTCGAATACCATGGAGCAGTATCGGTTCGCTTATGTTTTACGCGTCAACGAGCATTTCATGATTAACCCTTTTAAACGTTTTATTTATGAAAAAACGAGGTCTACCTTTTGATATACAATATATACAATATTATATATATTATAATATATTATATTATATATATACAATTTCCGTATTAATGTTACTCGCAGGTGCATAAAATTCGCGATCCAGTAAACAAAAACAGTGTTTTCGTCATGAATTGAAAATCGCGATGCTTCAATTACAGCAATTTTCGTCCAATTTAATCCAACGCGGTTCTACGCAGTTTCGGTTGTTATCGTTGGAATATGTATGCCTGTCGATTGACCCGTGTGCGTGTGTGCGTGTGTGCGTATACTAGAGCAGACCGAGCGTGCGTTGACCCACGCGCGTAAGGTGTACGCGGGAGCGTGAATCGATGACCCTGAATTTCAATTGCACATTGTTCTTAAAATGGAGCCGCAGGGGTCACACGCCGTTCGACGAACTCGGCCCGGCGACATCTAGAAGTTCGTTTGCTGCGCTCTCTCTCTCTCTCTCTCTCGCTCTCTTATACTCGCGCTCTCTCTCTCGCGCGCTCTCTCTCTCTCTCTCTCTCTCTCTCTCTCTCTCTCTCACTTTCTCTACGAAACCGTTTGCTGGGATTATATAAATATAGCCTATCCGGGGTTCTCGACTTCGTAGTCGACCACGGCCGACCGCGTCGCGCTTGTTACGACTCCCGCCTACGTCCAGGAAATTACTATAATTCCGCAGCATGTTTCGAATCGACGTGATTTAAATAGGGCCCCCCATTACGATCCAATAAAACGACATTGTGTCCTCCAACGTCGGCGCAAGCTACCGACGACGCAATTAGAGAACGCTGGTCTTCTATACTTCAGATGTCTCTTGGCAACGATAATCGTATCATCTTTATAGGAGGAAGTACCGTGTACACAGGATTCAGATTTACTCGCAACATATGAGCCGTTTATTTTGAAAGTGGCATAAGTCGCTTTACCGTAATGGAAAGTGGTGATTTTTTTAGTGTTTATAAGAAATTATTTATACCGAGAAAAATATCAGTATCCTGAGATAACAAATACAAGTAAATCTTCTGGAAAGTTAGCATCCATATTTTTAAACGTGTTAAAACGCAAACCCTTGAATATATCGACTTAAAAACAAACTGACTTATGCCACTTTCAAAATAAACGGCTCATATGTCGTACGAAAGACGGCGCCACGAGCCGCGAATTTTCAAAGCGACCGCGGCTGTAAAATTATTCCAAAACAAGTATCTCGAATTTCCTTTACTTCCGGTTAAATTAATTTCAGAAATAACTACCAGAAGGTACAGCAGCGCGTACGTCTGTCTCGTATTTCCCCGTATTATGATTTCATGTTTTATATCAGCCCTCGTGTTTCAACGACCATA